TACTTTTATTATTATTATTTTTATATAAAAAAATCAAAAATATATATATTTTATTTAAATATGTACGCATACACTTTTGTTTTATTCCTTTTTTCTAAACTAAAAAAAAAGACAAAAACATTTTCTTATTAAAATCAATTTCTTTTCTTAAAATTAATTTAATATTTAGACTTAGGTTTTATTTCAATTTGTTTATTTTGATTGAATTAATTTAGACATTAGGATTTTAATTAATTTCTTTTCAAATCAATTAGAACCTTCTTCCTAAAAAAAACATAAAAACACTTTCTCTTCTCTTTATATTTCTTTGTACATTTTATTATTTTGCACTATAATCATGTAATTGTCAAATCCTTGTAATAGTAAATTAGGTTTATTTGCTTTCATCTCCCCATTTGTAAATTTGTACACCCCCTCCCCTAATGATGTAATAGCGTAGTAATTTTACTTTCCGCAATTTGTCGCTTTAATATAAATGTTAGTAATTAGGGTTTGTATGGAAAGACTAAAATCAACAATTACTAAACCCTAATTCAAGACAAAAACAAACATGAAAATGACTTGCACACAAACACCCCTAGGGTTATTCCACTTGGTTGCCTTATACAAAATGAACATATTATGCATATAAGGTATCTTAGCAAAAAACAAACAAATACAAGATCATAGTCCCTCGATGACGCTATTCAAAGTTGCCTTACAAATGATATTAGTCCCTCAAAAAATGCTAAGATACTTTGCAACATTGCTAATCATGGCTTTACGATGACCCCACGTCCGTCCCGTTTACATCCAAAGATAGGGTTGCTTACCAAATCAATGGTAAGACAACAATATCAAAGGAAAAGAAAATGAACAAGAAAGACATTTGAGTAGGTAGATTACTTTTAGTTACTTGCTCCATTTCAAACAAATATCCTTGCTATTTTCAAAACAAACACACACATTTCCAAACATCTTGCAAACATTGAAAACATTTTTTTCAAAAAGACAAACATCTTTGTATATATTCTTACGAATAAGAATCATTACAAAGATTGCCTAAACAATGGCCTCTTTTACAAAATACTTTCAAAACCATACAAAGTACAATTTCAAAACAAAAGCAAGTGATCTAGCAAGTAACTAAGAGCCCATGGAAAACCATGGATGAAAAGGGTGCTAACACCTTCCCTTTTCATAATCTACCCCCCGAACTCAAGAAACAATCTCAAAGGTCTTTCTTGTGCTTTTTCACCTTTCCTTTTGGATAAAAGAAAAATCGGTGGGGACTCTTGCTAAACCGCAACATTTGCGAACACAAACACAAAACACCCAAGTCAGTTCTCCCACCGTATCACAGAACTGGCGACTCTGCTGAGAAACGTTATTAAAAGTGGGGTTACCTTAGGGATATATCACATTTATTTGCTTACATTGTTTGACTTGTTTGCTTTACATTATAGTTCTTTTTTTGGGTTTGAAATCCTCTACCCGAATTTGGGATACATTATAGGTAAATAGAAATACATTCTGGAAACTGTGCGGGGTATACCGACGTGGTCTAAGCAATGGCTATGTTAGTGTGACATATTTGTGGGTACCGGCAGCCTTTGAGTCAATCAAAGAGAATACGGGCCGCTGAGTGATGTCATGAAGCACTAATGAACTTCTAGAACCCTTTACTTGACCAACTTGGCCTTTAGGATGTAGTGAGATGACCGGCTTTGGTGCAGTCCGAAGTTGGTAGATACTCGATACTACACTTATTGAGGGTTGGTTTCTTGGGATATTTCGGTCGCCATTAAAGAGGCTTGAGCCGAAACAATGACCAAGGAAACAATCTGGTGATATTGAGCTCCTTAGAACCCGGTTACTATTATTAGAACAGGTTTAAGCCAACTAAACTTCAAGAGGGTACTTACCTATAAAACCCCATGCAAGCCTAAACTAAGAACTTGTTTGCTTTGTTTGTATATTCATACTTGTACATAACATCATGGACATCATGAGCATCATATGCATTCACTAACCATTTCAAGGATTTTGGAAATTCATCTTTGTTCTTGTTTTGTAGGATATGGATTCACTTTGCAGGAAAACTATCCAAATCAACTTTGTAAGAATTCCTCCACAACTTAAGGAGCTAGCTTCAAGGATCCCTTAGAACTCTCCATTCACCGAGAGGCATGGTCGTCTACTCAACTTGGTCAGCTCAAACACAGAGGAGGATATGATGAAGGTTCAGTTCTTTGATCCTTTGCACCATTGCTTCACATTCCTGACTATCAGCTTGTGCCTACTTTAGAAGAATTCTCTCAAATCTTGAGGATTCCCATTCTCAATCAACTACCTTTCAACGGTACGGAAATAGACCCAAAGCTAGAAGAGATTGCTCAAGCTCTACACTTGCACTCATCTGATGTTACAACTCATTGGGAAACTAGGAGTGGTGTCAAAGGCTTCTTAGTAAAGTTCCTGTTTGAGAAAGCCCAAAGCTGTTGGAATTCCTTAGACTTGCAAGCCTTTGAGGAAATTGTGGCTCTTCTTATCTATGGGATGGTCTTGTTCCCCAATCCTGACCAACTCATAGATGTGAGTGCCGTCAAAATCTTCATGTCACGCAATCCGATGCATACATTACTATGGGATATCCTGCACTCTTTTCACACTCGCACAATGAGGAAAAGAGGTGTCCTTATGTGTTGCACTCCTCTCCTGGCAAGATGGTCTATTTCTCATCTTCCCCAATCAGTCTTAAAGAATGAGCAAAGATTAAGGTGGTCACAAAGGTTAATGACGCTCAAACATTCAGATATTCATTGGTGTTCCCGATCCAAAGAGGATGTTATCATTGTTGACCGTTGTGGGGAATTCCCTAACGTCCCTCTACTTGGCATTAGGGGAGGCATCACCTACAACCCATGCTTAGCTCTAAGACAGTTTGGTTATGCCCGAAGGGATGGCCCGCATGAGATGCTGATTCAAGGCTTGGTATTCGACTACGACAACGACGATCAAGGTCTTCGCCAAAGATTCATCCGAGCTTGGAGGATGCTAAACAAGGTGGATAGCAAGACTTTGGGACACAAGAATTCCATCCCTCTTGAGCCTTACCTCAAATGGGTACGAACCCAGGCTCAAAGTCTTATGTTGCCTTATCCTTCCATCCTTTCGGTGATCATTGAGCCTGTCAAGGAGCGAGAAGTTCCATACACTATCCTACATCCTGACATGCCCTCATATCTTGAAGACCTACAAAGGGATTGGATACAGCTCAAAGGAGAGCGAGATACTTTCGAAGCCCAATTCTACGCAAGTGAGAAGAAGGTTTTGGAACTCACTAGGCTACTTCATGAGGAGTAGACTCTAAATGCCTACACAACACCAAAGAGGATGCGCACTACTTTTTTATCTTAGAGTTTTGTATTATTTTGCCCAAGGGGCATTGATGTACTCAAACTTTATCTTATTAATATAACGTGTGTTTCTTTTTTTTGGTCTAAAACGAACTTGAATCTTTAAAAATCCTTGAAAACATTACATATGCACATATCATTCATCATAACATAAACAGGTTTTTGCAACGAATTTCCTCATATCTCTACTGTTTATTTCAGTAAGATGGATCTCGAATAAACAGTCAAAGATCTTCAAGTTCAAAACACGCAGTTTCAACAGTTACTCATGACCCTAGCCAAGGGGAAAGAAGAGTTGAAGACTCTGTTAGCTGAAGAAAGAAAGAAGAAAACAAAGAAGGTCACTGGGGTTTTGAACATGGGGAGAAGGTTTCAGGGACAGACTAGAAGAACCTTGAATTTTACAACCACTTCCGGGGAAGGAGAAGGGAAAGGAAAAGAGACAGCAGTTCCGTCAGAATCTGAAGAGGAGGAAGAAGAGGAAGACTACTCCGAGGAACAGTATCCTCCAGCTGATGATAAGTACATACATCTTGAAGAGCGTTTGAACGCTATGGAAATACAAAAGGTGTCAGGTCTAGACTTTGAGGAATTGGGACTAGTGTTAGGAATTGTGATCCCATCGAAGTTCAAAGTGCCGTTGTTTGCAAAATATGATGGGGTGTCATGTCCTAAGATGCACCTCCGATCATATGTGAGAAAGATCCAGCCGCACTCCACCGATAAAGACTTGTGGGTCCATTTTTTCCAAGATAGTCTATCTGGAACACAACTCGATTAGTTTTACCAATTGGAAAGGACCAACGTACACAACTGGGAAGATCTTGCCGCAACTTTCTATAAGCAATATCAATATAATGCTGATTTGGCGCCTACCCGTATTCAACTTCAGAGTATGGTCATGGCTTCCAATGAGGGTTTCAAGGATTACGCGCAGAAGTGGAGAGATCTAGTTGGGAGAGTTCACATTTTAAACAGCTTTGTACACTTTGGTGAACTAAACAAGAGAAAGAAAACACACACGTCGTTAATCTGTTTTGGTGTACAGTGGAAGAAATAATGTTTGAAACAAGATTTCAAATACTAATCTGGTGTAAATTAGAATGCAACTAATAATTGCTAACCATTCCCCTGCTTAGAATAATAATATCGAACTCAAAAGACATATTAACAAACACCAATCTAATATTAATTAGTATACAACAAATTGCTCACCATTCCCATGCTCTCGCTAGAATCATCAAGAGTCCATTGTTATTATGATGAATTCAAATTCAACCCACACCAGTGAGCTAAATGGTCATCCAAATTGAGTTAGCTTCTATAGAAAAATCTCAATCAAAGACTAAATTCTTCTATTATCTGAAATCATAAAAAAACAATAGAGCAAGAGGGTTGAATTTGAAAATATTTCTACTTTCTTGCTTTCCAATTCCACACTTGTTTTTTGTTAGAAACTAAAGCATTGTCCTAATTCCGTAGTACACGAGGATATAAGTCAAAACTGTGACCATTGACAAAAAAAGGTTCCAACTTGCGGAGCAAGTGAAACAGCACAAATAAAGTATAACAAGATGAATAAACATAATATGGCTGGTTTATTCAGTTACAACAAAATGTGTTTTGACAACTTATCCAAGCACCAGAAGATGCTAGCATCCTCCCTTGATATAGCTTTAATAGCATAGATGCTTCATCCTTAAACCGTTTCACATACCTTTGCAGGAACAACTCGTCGGTCGGATAGAACGGCGATACTAAGCTAGCACTCTTCTTCATCAAACCATTGGAAAGAAGATACCTGACAACAGAAGCCCTCGGAATAAGCCTCTTCTCTAGACTAAATCCGAAAAGATCCGGTGCTGCCAGTGGCAGTGAAGGATCCCAACCAAGCTCTTGGACCCAAAAACGCATCACCGCATTGAGTTTATCCGGCGACCGTAGCATAAAGTTAGGCTGCTTTTTAAAGGCACTCAGAATCACATCTTCAGAACAACCCCAACTCTTCAAGGCATCAACTTTAGCATTCCATTGTGATTTAGAGATAGCCCTTTTGGCAAACAATGCAACACAAAAGTTGTACTTGGAAGGATGAAACCCTAATTCCTTAATCTCCTCCACAGCCTTTCTCAAGTCACTAGAACATATTACAGAAGGTCTATTACAAAGCAAATGGTAAATGCTTGAAGGAGTGACACCGGAATCGAGTAATAATTGAAGATTTGGTTTCATGCGGATATTAGAAATGCAAGATGGACAGAGAATGATTGAAGTAATAGCTTTTTGATCAGAGGGACAGAAAGTTCTTACCAATTCAAAAGAAAGGACAATGCGTTTCAGGCTTGAGCCAAGGAAATAGGGATACCTGCTGACGGTGGCGGCTATGTCGGAAGGGGAAGCGCCTTTGGAGGCTAAAAATTGAAACTTAGGGAGAATGGTATTGGTGGGGTTGGATGATAAGAGTTTTGGGGATTTGAGGATGATGGATTGGATTTGGGGGTTGGAGAAACCGTGGGTTTTGAAGAAGGTGATAACGGAATTGGGTTTTAGGGGGGTGGTGAAACTGATACGTTTGGATGCTTTGAGAGCATCTTGTGGAGATAAACCGAGAGTGTTGGTGAGGTAGGAGAGTGTGAAGGATTGTTGAGATGAATCTGGAGTGGCGGTGGAGAAGGGATTGAAAGAGAGGTGGATTGTTCGAAGAAGGTGATATTTTGGGGTTTGGGAGTAGAGAAGACTCCAGAGACGGTGATGATGAAACATGAGATCGGAGATTCTAGTAGGAGGCGGCTCTGGCTCAAACGGGAAGCAATCTTCCAACGGAAGTGAATATTTCGAAAAAGGAGTGTCCCTTTATGGTGTGGTTGGTTTGAGGTACACGGAGGAGAGGGGGAGGGGGAGGGGAGAGAATATTTTTAATTAAATATGTTCGGTTTAAATTTAAAGAAGGAAAGAGAGCAGAGTAAATTTCTTAAAAATATATTTTTTGTGTTTCTTTAAATTGGAGAAATTTAGAGGGGGAGGTAATATGACTTATATTATTTAAATTTATTTTATATTTATTAAATATCTTTAATTTTAGTTTATTATTTTAAAATTATTTATTTTCTTTTCTGTAAATATTTTTTTTTGTGTAATTTTCTTTGTTGTTTTCACTTGTTTATTATAATTGTTCTATTTCTTCAAATTTTTTATTTTTTATTTTTATATTTAATATATATTATGACCACTGTATTTTTTTTGTTTCTTATAAATTTTTATTTAAAAGTTATTAGCAACACATATTTTAATTTGTGTCGAAGAGTTATAAGCTGAATCAAGTATACACAATTTTTTAATGTTACATTAATAACTATTTTAATCAATCAACAATAGAAATTAAGTTTAATTATTTATGCATATTTTATTACCTGAAAATATTTATGAATTTTTCAACTTTGAATATCATATAACGTATATAAAATTATAAGGATAAAAATATAAATTATTAATAAAATTTATCCTCTCCTCTTGTGAATCAAACATATTTTTAATTAAAATCAATCATTTTCCCTCCCCTCCACTCTATTGAACCAAACATATATATTTGATCTTACCTGATCAGACTTGGACCATCACGACTGACTCGGGCAGAATTTGAGTGAGATGGAGGGGGGGGGGGGGGGGTACCTGCAAGGCACTCCGATGCTAAAATGAGTGACGGAATGAGCAGGCAAAGAGTGTATGTATGCGTAAGAGATGAATACCTGACCCTCTAGGAACATAGGATATTTATAGCCCCCAGCGCTGGACGAAGGTCCCCTCATTGGGCCGACCAGAACTGACCCAATAAAGGAACTGCCAGGTTTTACGTGTGTAGTGGGGACCCGTACGTGGTCCCCTTCCTGGTGATGCTCTGCGAAGAATGAGGAGGGACGAAGACGCGGTCTTTCCGGAGTTTAGATGATTCGATAACGGTCAGAGAGGACAGAATCTGCCCTACGGGGAGAGTGCTCGAGCAGGACTTGAGCTGGAGTTCCCTTTGTCGGGGACACCATGTGTCGCGGGTAATGGCGGGCATGGCTGCAGTCTGTGGTCGGGCACGCTGGCGGGAATCCGCGGACGCGCATTCCTCGAGGAGCTACTTGAATTGGGCCTTTATCCCTGCTTTGGGCCAGGGCGGGCCCAGTCCAGAACAGGAGCCCCCCAAGTCGTTGCTCCTGGAGCAGGAGTTATGACTTGACTTCAACTCGCCTTTACCACGGGGGTCTGATGCCCGAACCATGATATTGCTTCTTCATGCGTGCTCGAGGAGTTTCTCACGGGTTGCGTTCGTAGCGTAATCCTCATCGACGCGTGCTCGGGGAATTCCTCACGGACAGTGTTTGTTGGATACACGAGGCAATCCTTGGGAACCGTGACGCCACCCTAGCGACAATAGGATCATCATTGCCTAGGGGAGTAGATGTCGAGGATGGGAAGTTTGTGGCTCCCCGGGGAGACGTTTCGTATTCCACTTCATCCCTATAAATAGGATCCTTGGGTCCCATAATTTGTTTTTCTTCTTCGCGCTTCTCCTTCTTCCTCTGCTTCCGTCGCCGCTGTTTTTCTACAACATCGCAAGATTACCGCACCTTCCTCTGTTGACTTCTTTTATCGCTGCCGTACATTCTTCTTTGTTTCCAAGTAAGTGTTTATTCCTCCTATTTTTCTTCGTTGTAGGTAGTTTTACCATTATTTGGATGTTAGAAACCCATATCTGGGATTAGTGCCCGGTATATTCATGCGCGTGCCCGGTGAACCCATAGTTTTAGGTAGGTGACTCACAATGCTGCCCGTGACCTTCATGGTTTTAGGCGCACAATCTATGATACTGCCCAGTAAACCCATAGTTCTAGGCATAGGTTTTATGATATTGCCCGACACATTAATAGTTTAGGTCGGTGCACCCATGAGCTGGCCGGGGCGTTGACCCCTTAGGAAGTATGTAGGACAACTCGTCGTAGCATCTTAGCATCGGGGAGGCGAAACCAGGATCTTGTTCGAGTCATCCATGTTTATCGCGCGGGGTGTTCATGCTATTCTCTTGTTGTTCCCGACGTTTGGTCGAGCGTGTTTGGCTTGTCGCACACTACTTCCCGTCACTGTGGCGAGCTTGTGGGATTTGCTCTCGAATTTCACCGGTTTCCTGTGCTTTGTAGGTAAATGGCCGATGAACCGGAGTCTTCGAGGCGTAATGAGGTCGAGCACCAAAGTGCCGAAGAGACCGTGACTCTAGTTGATACCGTCGATGACCCTTTGTTGGATTGGGTGAGTGCCGAGCCTCGAGGGATTGCCTCAGCGTATTTTCGGCGTAGTCGGCGCGCATATACCGTCGTCGAACACGGCGGTAGTCAGTCGGGTTTCCAGAAGAATTTTGTTGTGACGAGGCCGTCCATCGATGCACGAATCTGCTCGGAGTTCACCGAGTATGGGTTTCCAATGTACGAGATTGTGTTTAGGGATCTCGGTCTCACGCTTCCTTTCAGTGATTTCCAAGCCGGGGTGTTCTGCCATCTGAACATGGCCCCTTCCCAACTTCATCCTAATTCGATTGCCTTCCTTCGGGCGTTTGAGCTGACATGCCGCTTCTTGAGGATCGGGGCGACCATTCCCCTTTTCTTCAGAGTTTTTCACCTGCAGTGTCAGTCTCGAGGAGGTAGGCATAGTTGGGTTTCCCTGAAACAGTCGAAGAGGCTGTTCAGGATGTACATGGATTCAGTCTGGGGCTTCAAGGATAAATGGTACGTTCTGCAGCCGGTCACCCAGACTGCTTTGGATTCTATGTATGAAGAGGAAACTGCGGTAGTCGACGAGCACGGGGAGCCCCTCATGGACACCGAAGGTCGACCGACAATGGGGCGTGTATCCAAGTTCTCGTTACATTGGTGCTCGGGCTATTACGACCATGGTACCGGGTACTACCACACGCCCGCGGGAAGTATGTGCGCCGAGGATGAAGAAGCCTATGGCATCCTTTGCAAATATGTCGACAGTTTTTTCCCTACCCGGTGGGTCACGAGGGAAGGGGAAGACATTCTTGACGGGGAAGGGTACCCGACGTTCGAGGCCCGTCCCATCGACACAAAGGCTAGTCGAGTGCCAATCTTATGGGCAGGCCGTAAATCTATTAGGTTGCTTTTGTCTTGTAGTTTTATTCCAATTTCGTTGTTTTTTACTTGCTCGCAACTAACCCGAGTTTTCTTCTTTGCAGGCGACATGGCTGAACAAAGGGAGAGGCTTTTAAAACTGACTCAGGACAAGAGAGTAAACAGAAGGCTGGTGCGAGCTGCACAGACCACGAGGATGGGCCCGCCGACCAGCTCATGTGATGCTTCTAGCGGGTCCCCGGGCTCCCCTGACGCCGAGCAGCCCACTGAGCTGATCACGAGAAAGAGAAGTCGGGCAGATAATAGGTCGGAGGTTGGCGACGAGTCTGTCGCTGTGAGGGCCTTCGGCTTACCCCCCTGTTTCAAAGAGGAAGATTTCTTCGAGGGGTTTTCCCTGACATTGAGCAACGAGGAGGCCGAGACCATCAGGCGGCTCAACAAAGAAAGCCGGAGAAAACACCTGGCCGCCAGTATGGTCGGGATGGTGAAGATGTCCGAGATGGCCGTTGTCCTTGCTGAGGAGGGGCTGGACTCCTCGGATCGCGTCAGGGAGCTGGAGTCGGAGAAAGCTGCCCTCGCTGTCGGCTCTCATAAGTTGAAGGCTGCTCTTGAGCGATCCGAGGAAATGTTCCGTGAACAAGCCGACCTGCTGGCGGTGGAGAAGGAGAACTCAGGGAAGGTTGCTGAGGAGAGGGATTGTCTTCGACTGGATAGGGAACGCTTGGAGGCCGACAACGAACGTGTGTCTAAGGAAGTCGAGGAGCTGAAAGCTGCCATACTTCCTACTGAAGATGAGTCGGAGGACACGACCCCTTTACGGATCCGTTCGGATCTGGTCGCGCGCATCCATCTCCTCGAAACAGACTGTGTCGGTGCTTTAGCGGACAGGTTTGAGGCTGCGGTCAGCCAGCTCGCCATATTGAATCTGGGCATGAATACCGCGGGAGTAGGTTTCATGTCCCAGATTATTGGCGGACAGGTTGTGCCTCCTCCTGAGTCTCCTGTGGTGGATACTGGTAGTCCCGGGGAAGTTTAGTCATAGAGTTTCTGGTCGGGCATGTGTGCCTGCTTATTGGTATTTGTTTTGGGGCCTGCGTGCCCGTGCTTAATTTTGGGGCCTGCGTGCCCGTACATATTTCTTTTGGCCATTGTGCCATATGTGCTCAGCTCATGAGGGGGAGCGAGATGCATGTCGGCGTGCCTTTGGCACTTGTCACACTTCTTAACGTGTTCTTTGGCGTCCTGTTGCATCGTCGGCCAATAGTACCCCGCTCGCAAGGCTTTCCTTGCCAGGGACTTACCGCCCATGTGTTGGGCGTTAATCCCTTCGTGTATCTCCCGTAATACCTCGGGGACTGTGGGTTCGTCGATGCATTTTAGGAGGGGAATGGAGAATCCCCTGCGGTATAGTTTATGCTCGAGCACCACGTAGGAGCATGCTCGTCATTTTGTGATGGTCGCTTCTGTCTGGTCCGAAGAGAGCTCGCCCTTTGTCAGAAAATTGTACACTGGGGTCATCCAGCACGAGGTGTCTCTGATGGCGTGCACCTCGACTGGGGTCGAGGACCTTTCGATGCTCGGGTGTGACATGGATTCTTGTATGACGGATTTGTTTCCGCCCTTCTTTCTCATGCT